TTGTGTGTGTGTGTGTGTGTGTGTGTGTGTGTGTCAGTTTGTCAGTCAAAGTTAAGGTGAGTCAAATGTCAGCTTCTTCTTGGATGCGCGTCGTTCAGATTTCTTGTTGGTTCGGTCTGAGGTCGGGTCAGTTTGGCCGCGTCCGGCGAAACGTGTCAGGCCCTGGGTCCAGACCTTGTCATTGGACACCGCGTAGTCCTGCCGGGGGGGGGGGGGGGATGATGTTCAGTGGGTGGTTCAAGGGTGGATAGTGGGTGGTTAGAGAGTGGATAGTTAGTTGTCAGAGGATGGTTGGTGGATGGTTAGAGGGTGGATGGTTAGAGGGTGGATAGTGAATGAATAGAGGGTGGATAGTTAGTGGACAGTGGATGGTTGATGGATGGTTAGAGAGTGGATAGTGGATGTATAGAGGATGGACAGTGGGTGGTTAGAGGGTGTATAGTTAATAGATAGTGGATGGATAGAGGGTGGTTAATGGGTGGTTAGGGGGTGGATAGTGGGTGGTTAGTGGATGGATAGGGGCGGATAGTTAGTGGATGGTTGGTGAATGGTTAGAGGGTGGATAGTGGGTGGTTAGAGGGTGGATAGTGGGTGGTTAGAGGGTGGTTAGTGAATGGATAGGGGTGGATAGTCAGTGGATGGTTGGTGAATGGTAAGAGGGTGGATAGTTAGTGGATAGTGGATGGATAGGGGGGTGGATAGTTAGTGGATAGTGGATGGATAGAGGGTGGATAGTGGGTGGTTAGAGGGTGAGGGTGGATAGTGGGTGGTTAGTGGATGGATAGGGGTGGATAGTTAGTGGATGGTTGGTGAATGGTTAGAGGATGGATAGTGGGTGGTTAGTAGGTGGATAGTGGGTGGTTGATAGATGGTTAGAGAGTGGATAGTGGATGTATAGAGGATGGACAGTGGGTGGTTAGAGGGTGGATAGTTAGTTGATAGTGGATGGATAGAGGGTGGATAATGGGTGGTTAGGGGGTGGATAGTGGGTGGTTAGTGGATGGATAGGGGTGGATAGTTAGTGGATGGTTGGTGAATGGTTAGAGGGTGGATAGTGGTTGGTTAGAGGGTGGATAGTGGGTGGTTAGTGGGTGGATAGCGGGTGGTTAGAGGGTGGATAGCGGATGGATAGGGGGTGGTAAGTGGGTGGATAGTGGATGGATAGGGGGTGGATAGTTAGTGGTCAAAGGGTGGTTCATGGGTGGATACTGGGTGGTTAGAGGGTGGTTAATGGTGGATTGAGGGTATATAGTGGGTAGTTAGAGGGTGTTTAGAGGGTGATAAGAGTTTTTTTTCGTAAGAGTTTTACTGCGCTTGCAATACAATAAGGTCATGCTTGTTTATTTTAGTAGAGGTTTTACGGCGCTCCCAAACGCATAAGGCCATATGAGCGCCAGAAGATTAGAGGTGTTACAAGGAGTAACAAACATACAAAAAGAAGGAAGGGAGATAAAGACGATAGATGTTTGATAGGAAAGAAAGAGCAAACAACACCAGAGCACCCACCAACCACCCACAAGTAAGAGGATGATTAGTTGGGGGTTAGATGGCGGTTAGATGGTGGCTAGTGGGTAGACAGACAGTGCAGCGAGGCTGCAGTAAATTAAAACCATTGAAAGACAAATTATTTTAGGAAAAAGGTCTGTATAATATATGAAACAGGCAACCGAGAGTGAGAGGGAAATGGATGATTTTTTAAGGGGGGGGGGGGATTCTTAATGTCTTAGAGGTACTTTTCTGGTCTTGTAAAAGTCTACTGGAGCCCATCTCTCCTGCATTGTGTCACGATGATCCACCCACATGTGACCACATAGTGAGTACCCTGGGCGTGCGCGTTAGGTCCAATTAAATTCAGAATGGAGGGCTCAAATTGCCTTTTACCGACTGACTGGCTTCTGGGTATGTGACAGATGTTTAGCGGCTAAGTCTTCAGGCAGGCAGAACTGACAGGGGGTGAAGGTGTGCAGAACACACGTCCAGCCTACGTTCCACTCTGGATTTGTTGAGAGAAGCGAGCATGGAGGCACAGACAGACAGACAGACAGACAGACAGACAGACAGACAGACAGACAGACAGACAGACCGACAGACAGACAGACAGACAGACAGACAGACATATTTGTTCAAACAAATTTTGAGAGAAGTGATCATGGATGCAAGACAAATAGACAGACAGACAGACAGACAGACAGACAGACAGAAAGACAGACAGACAGACAGACATATTTGTTCATATAAATGTTGAGAGAAACGAGTATGGATGCACAAACATGCAGACAGACAGACAGACAGACAGACAGAAAAAACAGACAGACAGACTGACAGACATATTTGTTCATAAAATGTATTATTTTGTTACTTGTTTGTCGTATCGAAGACGACCATGTAGTCACCCAGTGGTCAGGGGTGAGTCACTGACAGATGGGTGCAGAAGAGGCCAACCTGTGCCCGAAGAGTTCTGTCACGGCAATGACCGAAGACGGTGCTAGTTAAAGATTTGTTGTCATAGTAACGACCGATGATGAGTGGCAGCAGTTGGAGATCTGTTGTCATAGTAACGACCGTTGATGAGTGACAGCAGTTGGAGATCTGTTGTCATAGTAACGACTGATGATGAGTGGCAGCAGTTGGAGATCTATTGTCATGACCGATGACAGTGGCGGTAGTTTCAGATCTGTTGACACTGGTCTGCTTGGCAATCCTGCGCTACTAAGCTGCAGCAATTCTGTTACTTTCACTGACCTTCTTGGCGGGTGCTCTGGTGTGGTCTGCTTCTTCTTTCCTATCAAACATCTATCGTCCTTATCTCCCCTTCTTCTTTTTTATGTTCGTTACTCTCTTGTAACACCTCTACTCTTCTGGCGCTTATATGACCTTATGCAGTTGCAAACGCCGTAAAACCTCTAATAAAACTAGCACCTCTGTGGATGACTGAACGCCATGCGACTTTGTCCTGAGCAATCTGCACCCATCTTCTGTGACTGATTTTGAAGGCCCTCAGGGGAAACATTGAGGCTGTCATTGAAACGCGTCCATTGGCTCACATGGCCTTTCAACAAGGCAAACAATCTCGCACAAATATAAACGAACAGACAAGAATACCACAAAGACACAGGTACAGAGACGGAAACGTAGACAGGAAGAAAAACGAACTTATCAACTGACAGTGTTGCAGACAGACAATAAATAGACAATCGAGGCAAACAGACAGACAACGAAGACACACGGACTGGCGGCGAGACTGTATACGTCCAGGGGTCGTATGTTTCAGGTGCTCACTGACCTTGTGCAGATTGTAGTGCCCGAAGTTGTTGAACTGATCATAACACCACGTGACCGTCATGCCCTGGGGCAGGTTGCGGGCGTTCACAGCACTGGAGGAAATAGCAGGAGGAGTTAAGTAAAGGGCGCGGTGATGGGTACGGAGGACAAGTGAACGATAAATGGGGCAGACGGAAAAGACTCTCTCTCTCTCTCTCTCTCTCTCTCTCTCTCTCTCTCTCTCT